GTTATTTGTGACTGCTTATATTCAACAAGTTTAAAAGCAGTAGGCAAATAGATTAAGTTCTTTTACACTTTGTTTTAACTCAAATACTTTGTATTCTCTGCTCACCTAGATATCTTGTTCTAGAGTTTCTCTTAAATATCTGAAAACTGTTGTTTGAGACGTGCACTTACTTGTTCTATTTGTGGAGGTAAAACGTGAGCCTTTAATTGTTCTCTCTTTAGTTCAATCCTAATTGTTTTGATTGTCTCCTATATTTTTCTCCTTTAAGTACCTTAGGATGGTCTAGAAATACCCAAACTAGAGGTCCTAAATACCTCAGGGCTACAAGGAAGGGACGGGTAGTGCACGCATAGGATATCTTTTAAGGTTGCTAGAACGCTTTAGGCTATGACCAAGGGGAGGGAATTGGGTAGTAAGGATATGATGACTGCGCGCTAATGTCATATGTAGCCCTTCATTGAGGAGTGATTACTGGGTGTCGCACCCCCTTTTTTCCTCCGCGGAGAAAGTTTGGGTTTCGACGTTCATGGGGGTAATGACTCATTTCCTTTTGGGAATTGGGTATTAAAGAGTCGCCACCTAACGGATTATGGTGTGTTAGGGCACCTAGAGCGATTAACTCTTAGACTAGTTTGCATTACCAGAGATGTAGGGTAAGGGCTCGAAATAACCTTGAGGGGAAGGTGTTAGGCACCCCTATCGGTCCACAACGGTGGGTCCCAACCGAACTTATACTTAAGTGAATTAGTCCTTTTAACAAATAAATAGTTTAAACACATACTTGCAAAATAAATGCATGTTAAGCATATAGATGACTCAAGTGATGGAATAGGGGAAAAGGTTTGAACAAGTTTCACATATATAAAGAAAATTGAATTTATTTAAACAACGGGAGTTGGGAAAGAAGGGTCCTGGGTTGGTTAGCCTATAGTATCACCCCCACACAATGCCCGGTAATCACTCCTCAATGAGGGGCTACACGTGACATTAGCGCGTAGTTAACATATCCTTACTACCCAATTCCCTCCCCTTGGTCATAGCCTAAAGCATTCTAATAACCTTGATAGATGTCCTATGTGTGCACTACCCGTCCCTTCCTTGTGGCCCTGGAGGTATTTATGACCTCTAATTTAGGTAGTTCTAGAGCTTCCTAAGATTTTAAAGGATAAAAGTCTAGGAGTCAATCAAAAACAATTAGGACTGCATTTAAAGAGAACAAATTGCAGGCTCACAGTCACCTCCACAAATATAACAAGTAAGTGCACGTCTTCAAACAATAGTCAAGTATTTTAGGGAAAATACTAGAACATGATATCTAGGTGAGCAAGGATTATACAACATTGATTTAGGAACAAGCGTCAAAAACCTATTTAGCTTGCCTACTGATTTTAGATTTGTGATTGCGAACAGTCTTAAATAACAAAGCACAGCTTTTATAGTTGTAGGATTTTAATTGCCCAATAGGCTTGCCTAAGCACATAATAGTGACGTCCTAAAGGCATGATATCTATATGGATTAGGAATACAGTAAAATAGTAAAATAATTTTTAAAAGAAAACTTGAGATCCTCTAGGAATGCTTTCTAGCAGTATTAATTTTAAGGCAGTGTTTGAAAACATATTAAAGAAACGGACAGATTAATTAATTAATCCACTTCAGAATACATAAACACGAATTTGAACTGATTTGTTTAGCTAAACTTGTTTTAAGTTCTATAGGCATCATTTCTATTAGAGTTGATTTTAATTCCTATAGGCATGGTATCTAATTATTAAAAGCCATTTAGATCCTATAGACATGGTTTCTAATTGTGTTGAAGTAAAGCAAACATAGAAAACACATTTGAATCAACATAGACCCTATAGGCATGGTATCTATCCAATTTACCCAACATATATATAACTACCCACCCTTTTTCACTAATAACCCCAATGTTTGTTTATAAAAATTATTACAGATCAATGAATTAAATAAAAATACATAAATAAATAGGAGTTAATCTATAGGGAGCCTACAGTAGGCCCAAATGACTTCCCAGCCTCAAATGCCCAAAATTTCATAGCCAATTTCATGTCTAGCTATGTTAGAGTTCCCTAAGGACCTCAAGGATCCCGGGCAGTGCTCACAGCTAGACATTTTCTTGAACAATAACTCATTTAAGTGTAGTGTGGAAAGGCCAGCTCTGACATGCTAGAGTTCAGAGAGATCTCAAGGATCTCAAGGCAGTACACATATTAGAGGGGCAGAATCTAGTATTCTAAGAGTGAAGGGAGAGTGCTTTACATAGTTTTGAAAAAGTTTTGACAATAGTACTGAGATAACTTTAGAAGTAAAAAAAGGTTTTTCAGAAACAGGAAACAGTTTGGTGGTAAAAGACAGTTTGGGAAGAGTACCAAAACAACAGACAATCAATTGGTCATAAAAACATCCAGATTCAGAAAACACCTAACAAATAGATCTCGCATGGGGATAAAGGGATTGGGGCACATAAGAGTCATATTGGGGTACATTGATAGGGCATAGAGGAAACATATAGTCAATCAGACTGCATAAACACTTAGGATCTTAGGGATTTTAGCAGGCTAGTCATGGACAGTGAGTAGTTAATACATAGATCATAGTTGACATGTCTTGAACAGGATTAAACATACAGTTTAGACATGCTAGGTAAAGAAGTAAGCAGGAAAGACTGCAGAATATAAAGCATACCTTGAACATGACAGAGTTTTAGACATGCTAGGCAAAGAAGTAAGCAAGAAAGAGTGCAGAATATAAAACATACATTGAACATGACAAAGTTTTTGACATGATAGGCAAAGAAGTAAGCAGGAAAGAGTACAGAATATAAAGCATACATTGAACAAGATAAAGTTTAGTCATGCTGAGCAAAGTAGTAAATAGGAATACACGTTGAATTCATAATTGATGAACTAGTGCAGGAATGAAGCATATAAGGTTTGGATTTCAAAACTTAACTAGAGACACACCAGTTGAAGAAAAGGGTGCAGAATATAAAGCAGATGAAGTTCCAATATTTAACCTTGGCTTTTAGTTGGCTAGATCAGTGAGTATCACAAGTAGCAGAAGAGGAAGAGAACTTTAGAGTGTAAGTGTGCTTTTTGTGAACTAATATTCTTTTTTGAAGTGAGAATAGGAGAGTGGTTATATAGCAGTTCGATGGTAGAGTTAATAAGGTAAAAGAAACAAAAATCAGCAATTAAGGGCAAATCAGAATCCAATCATATAAGAAGTTCAGAATAGACTACTTTAGTTAGGGGCAATTAGCCAAACGGTAACAACATGGGTTTAATTAAGGCAAAAAAGACCAAACCATACCAAATAAAGAATCAATAAGAATCCCCAAGTTATATGGGCAAGAAATTAAGGCAGAGATGACTAATTAAGGTTATAAACAAGGAAACAAATAAAGTCTATGCATACCAATCTTTAACGGAGTAATCAATCAGTCAGAATTTCAAAGTAATACTGATTTCTAGAAAGAATATATATCACTTCCCATAAATAGAAAAATAAACTAAGTAAAATTTCAAAGAAACATCGAACTTAGTTGTAAAAAATTAGTTTAGAACCCTAATAGGGCTCAGTTAGAGGGAAAATCAGGAAAGAGTCAGCAAGTTTAGCAGATAAGGTAAGAAATGAATAGTCAAGATGATCACAAACATATAGAATCGGTGAAAAGTTGAATTAAGAATCTCAGTAGAGGCATGTTAGTGTAAGAAAACCACGAGACATTTAAATGGCTAAAGAGAAATCACAAGAACCAAAGCAAGAACACAGTCAGCATATAAGTACTCAGAAACCAAACAAAAAATGTTGAAACAAATTAGGGCTTTTAGTGTAAACAAGTTGAAATTAGAGTAACCCTAACGAAATCGGTTAAAACACATAGGAAACAGAAGATGAAACACCCAAATCATCAAATGTTTTGGAATTTTTTTTTGAAAACCCTAGTTTAGAGAGAGATGAAAATCACTTGAAAATCATACGATTCTTGTAAAGAATCTCAAGGTTGTTGTAAAACTTATACTAAACAAGTCTAAATCATCTCAGATCTGTACAGATCTAAGAGGTTCAGAAGAAAGAAATCAGGGTTTCTTGGAGAACAACACATAGATGAAGAAATATGCTTAGAAACCCATATATCATAGTCAATATAGGACGATCTTGCTCGGAATCACAATAGAACAACTTGAAACAGGCGATAAAGGGGCCATAGATGCAAGCCAACTGACCCTGGTCCCTTGGGGACCCTTGAGATGGCAATAGCAATATGAGGAAGGCCATTAGAGGCCTGGGGTGGTGAGAAATCATCATAGATAGCCATAGATGAGTGTTAGTAAGGCTCTATTAGGGTTAGATTTGAGAGCGTTTGAGAGAAAAGAGGGATTTCAGGGCGGCGGATGGTGTAGAATGAAAGGGTTGGGGGGTGGGTCGTTTGGTTTATTTTAGGAAATGGTTTTTTGTGGCCGTTGATCTCTATGATCAACGGTCGAGATTAAAAGGGTTTTGGGGCCAGATCGGGTAGCTGGGTAAGTTCAAATTAAAATTGGGCTAGTATTAGGTTGAAATAGGACTGTAATTAAAATCAAAATAGGCTAGATTTTAAATAGCCACTTTTAGTAACTATATAATTTATAAAAATAATGAATGATTTCCAAAAAATATTTTCGTGTACTAAAATGATTTAAAATAGTTGTTTTACATTTTAAAAATATTTTTTTTGGTAATTAAACAATTTTTATTACCAAGTAAATACGTACAAGTATATCCGTAACTAAGTTTGGACATGCAGCCCCAAACTTAGTACACTCCTTCTATTCTAACAACTCATAAGGATAGAAATTTAATTTTTGAAGTTCATTCCTTAAGCTACTCTGCCTATTTCTTATACAATGTATCTCCTGTATTATCTGCCTTGTGATAGCTACACTACTTCTCTTTTCCTGCTGAAAAATCCTTCTATTTCTTTCCATCCATATCTAGTAAACAACACTTGTAATACACATCCTGTAGAGCATGACTTTCAATCCTTTGCCTTTCATATGATCTGTTGTCCATTTGAGTTCCTCATTCCAGCCAGTTACTCTTTGTGCCAATCCTATCCATGCCAACATCTTCCCCCATACTTCTGCTGAGAATCTACACATAAAGAACATGTGCTGATGACTCTCCAGCTCTTGCTCACAAAGTGGACAATTTGGATTAACCTGTAATCCTCAGCTGCTCAATTTGTCTTTGGTATATAACTTCTCCTGTACAGCAAGATATAATATGAACTTCCACCTTTGATAACCTTTGTTATTACATAATAATCTGCTCCAATCTTCTTTAGGTAAATCTCCTCTCAGTTGATTGTACATTACCTTGATAGAGAATGATTTTGTTCCTAACACCTTCCCAATATCCAACCTTGCTTCATTTATCTATTTCCTAGCGTGTAGTGTCTTCCTGATTATCCATGAAGCTTGCTTCACTTCTACTTGCCATGAAATCTTCCCTTTTATGTAGTAAACATGCACCCACCTTATCCATAGTTTGTCCTTCTTCATACAAACATTCCAGAGGTGTTTTAATAATGCTGCTCTATTCCATGTGCTGAGATCAGTGATGTTCAGTCCTCCTTTGGATTTAGGCCTGCACATCTTCTCCCAAGCTACCAGAGCTTTCTTACTTCTATTGGTATCACCAGTCTAGAGAAATCTTCTACAAATACCTTCAACCATCTGTATAATTTTCTTTGGTAGTGGAAAGACCTCTGACCAGAAGTTTTGGATGGCAATTAACACACTCTTTACCAACTGTAGTCTTCCTGTATATCTTAAGAATTTGACTGTCCATTATTTGACTTTTCCCAGCATTTTGTCTAGTAATGGTTGGCACTGGCTCACAGACAGTCTTTTTGAGCTCAGAAGAACTCCTAAGTATCTAAAAGGAAGTGCACCAATGGCAAAACCAGTAGCTTGAATAATATCCTGCTATACTACTGTTGGAACACCACCAAAATACATGCAGCTTTTACTTTGGTTTGCAACAAGTCCAGAAGCTTTTGAAAAACTATTGAAACATTCACATAATAGCTGTATAGACATCACATCACCTCTGCAGAATAGCAGCAAATCATCAGCAAAACTGAGCTGGACAATGTTTAGTTTCTCACATCTTAGATGATAATTAAAATTAGGTTCCTCCTTCAGCTATTTCGGGATTCTAGTCAGGTACTCCATTGCTAATACAAACAATAGTGGTGACATTGGATTACCCTGCCTCAACCACCCCCCCCCTTTTTTGATTCAAATGGAATAGTAGGGCTCCCATTAATAGAGATGGAGTAAGATATAGTTCTGAGACACTCCATAATCCATCCAATAAATATTTTGGGAAAACACAACCTAGTTAATACCTGCTCCAAAAAAAAACCATTGAATTGAATCATATGCCTTTTGAATATCAATCTTGATCATGCATCTTGGTGAGACCCCACTCCTACCATAGCCTTTTATTAGTTCATGACTGAGCAGTACATTGTCTATCAATCCTCTTCCTGGAACAAAGGCTGCTTGACTCTCATCTACAAATGTATTCATCACTTGCCTCAATGTACTTGTTATCATTTTGGATATGATTTTGTATAATGTANTCTAAGCTCGAATCTCTAACCCCGAACCAGTGGTTCTGGGTTACTATAAAACTTTTATCCCCAGCAGAGTCGCCAGAGCTGTCACACCTCCTTTTTCCATACCCGCGAGGGTATAAGAGAGTTTTTTCCAATTAAAGGACAATCGAAACGAGATTTGTTTATTTTTTCAGAGTCGCCACTTGGGAGATTTAGGGTGTCCCAAGTCACCAATTTAATCCCGAATCGAGGAAAATATTCGACTTTCCAAATGAAGTCTGCGAACCAGAAATCTAAGTAAGGAATTCTGTTGACCCGAGGGAAGGTGTTAGGCACCCCCGAATCCCGTGGTTCTAGCACGGTCGCTTAAACTGTTGTAATGGCTAAAATATCTGATTTTAATACATGTTCAAAAACTATATTGCAATTTTAACTATTAACCGCTTTTATTATTATTATTATTATTATTATTATTACAAGAATGTGAATATTGTTTAAAACATGTCTTTGGATTACATCACATGAAATGTACCCGCAATTCGGATTACATTTTATTTAATGTTTTGGGATTTGGATTTGGGTCGCAAAAATGCGCACCCGTGTTTAAGAATGTATTATTATTAACATCGTGCCTAAAGCGATTAACATATTATTATTCATGGGTAAGACCGTGGAATTCACTAAACAGTCCATCCCGAATTCTAAATACTCAATTAAACATTTATTGAGGTCCCCGCAATTGGTGCATTTTATTGGGCGAGGCTCATCTCATTTATTTTTAAAAGACAATCCTAAAATGCCTACATTATTTTCTATTAAATCTGTCTCTACAAAATAAAATAAAAAAAAATACATAGAACACATGAAACAAATTAATTAAACTTCAATTTGTATCTAACCAACATTAAACTAACAACTTTTAACAAAACAATAAACAAGAACAATAAAACAAACATGAAACAAATTGAAAAATTAATTAATCAAAGTTCC